ATTTCGCTTTTGCTACTTGGTTCGACGGGCGAGCCGATCAGCCGGATTGCAGAAACAGGAAGCGATATACCAGAGCGAGCCGGCGCAAGCGCACCGCACGATTTCGGTATCGCGAAGATCCGATCGCGAGCTCGCGTTCGCTCGGCTACGTGTGCGATCGATCGATCAGTCGACCTCACATCGAGAGAATTGGCGGTGCAAACGTTAATTATCGTGCGTTATTTTTATTCATCGAGGTGGCCGCGCGCAATCATCGCAGAGTAAGCGTCGCTAAAAATGCGTTTCTCGTTTCGTGGTTCTACGCCCTATAACGGGAGAAGATCCAAAAAACTGAAAATTCAAGGAGGCCAGGCAAGAGGAAGAGTTCTCCGACGGGGGAAGAAGCGATGGGACGGAGATGGCGAACGCGGGAGCGTAAACGACGCAAGAGGCGAGAGCACCCGCCCGAAGTTAATTATTTTCGGTGGCCAAACCGTAGCGGCTGTTAACCGGCTGTTAATTACATCGTAAACGAGCCGTCGGACGGTCGAAGTGTTTCGCGGCAACGTCATCGAAACACGACGATCTAGAGCGCGGTGACGCATTGTCGCGTCGTGAAATCTCGCCTACTGCGAGATCTTGGATCTCCGTTGGCGATTATAACTGTGGCGAGAAATTTTAGTTGCAAAGTGTTGCATTTAATGCGCGAAATTTCCTCCTCGACTGTTATTTCGTCGGAGATTTCGTCATTTTTAGACGACGCGTGGAGCAAAATTGTTCAATGTTCAAACTCGAGACATCTTACGAAAAGTTCCGACCGCCGCGCGATGCAATCGCGAATCGTTCGTCTGAGACGAAGGTATCGTTCTCAAAAATTGATGAGTTAACGCATCCAAATGTATGTACTCTAAATTGCAATTAATCTTACACAGAAAAATATCGTTCTACTGCTAAGAAAATCAATTACTCAGTTTAATTTCCTTCTTTTAAGTAATGGTTCTCTTCTACGAGGAATATTGTCTTGATAATATAATGCTTTTCAAGACAAAATTCGCAACTGTTGCTGCTTAATCGGACCATGCACCGACAGCGTTCTCTCTATTCATGCGCGCGAATGAACCGTTCGCGGAAAAATCCGTGCGCTCATAAATTACATTAAATTACACGGCCGGAAACGCCTTGAAATCGTGCGCTTCTTCGCGCTAACTCACACGCTCGCCTCGTTCTCTCCCCGGTATTTTTGTTGCTCCACGTCCGAGCGGGCGCACGTTCCGCGCGATATCGTCGTGAACGAGAGAATCGATATCCCGAACGGGAGAATGCCTTTGATCGTCCCAGAGTAAAGGGTGCGTTTACACTCACTTTCTCGCGTTGCGCCCTACGGTGTATTCGAATCGGCGCGTTCTCGCCGCGCCGCTAAATATAAAGCAACGAGCTTCCCCGGGGAGGAGGCGCGGAATGTCCTGACACTCAATATTCTCGGAGTACAGACTGGCGCGAGAATTTTACGAGGTCGCGAGCTCCGGAATTTTCAACAATATTTTAAAAGACCACACGCACCGGCGACTGCTCGATATTGCAGGAACGACGATGTCGCGCAATAGGAACGGAGAAGCGCTCGGGTCGCGCTCGTCGCAACGCATCGCGCGTGATTTAATCTCGAACGAAATATCCGTCCGGCGGCAGGGTGAGCGCGCACAGCCGTCGCGTGGGCGTCGTGATACACGCGGATCGCGTGAGTCGTCGTCGCGTAAGCGCAATCCGGAGCAACGGCGTTGATTTAATGCGGAATCTGCAATTAACTTCCGCACCGAGAGAACGGCGACGCTCAAAAAAACTTGTACGACTTAGACTTGTACGACAGAGAGAGTTTATAATTGTAAGACAGAAGAACGTAATTTTGTAGATGCTCTTAAAGCGCCTTAAAGGATTAATTCTTGACATCATGATTTCTCTGATATCATATCACATTGAGAAGAAAAATACTTGAACATTTATTTGTGGAGTATAAAGCTTATTTGAAATAAACAGAATAAACAGAAATAAACTTTATATCTCAGAAATAAATGTTCAAGTATTTTTTCTCAATATCTACATGGAAAAAAAAGATTTGCTAATATATGGACAACTAAAAATATTAACTGCAAAAGCAAATTTTCTTGCTTTCATAGTAAAAGTTATTTAGTTGTGATAACTAAATATATATATAACATAATATATATATTAGCAAATCTTTTAGTTGTCACAACTAAATAACTTTTACTATGAAAGCAAGAAAATTTGCTCCTGCAGTTAATATTTTTAGTTGTCCATATATTAGCAAAACTTTTTTTTCCGTGTACCTTCTATTCTAATCATCATTGCATCTCTAATTCCAGACTATTAAATTCGACGGTCGTCCGATTCTATTTGAGTGAATTGATGGCAATAACAAACGCAAGATCTACATATTGGTTATTACCTGAATCTTATCTTATGTATTATCAAATTTTTATTTAGAGTTACATCTAAGTTTTTCAATAAAATTGTAATATGTGGTACATTAGGTATTCTTAATCACGATTCAACTAAAAAATTCTCATCTAACTCTGAATTCACATTTGAGTATCCTACTTGAGGTGGCGAGTCTCAAGTAACGACAACGAATACAGATCTAAAATACGCCGATTTAACATGTCGCGACATGCAATCGTCGCGTACACCTAGAAATGAGGAAATTACTGCCGAAAAATGTACTCACGATACGTCTCGTGGATCGCACGTCGCTATGTTCGACACTCCCAACGCTTATTTCCGCACGACAGTCACTCTTGGACAGACAAAAGACGCACAAAATACGAAGCGATGTCAATCGATGTGTTAATGGCGGCTATTCGAGGTGAAAAGGACGAGCATGACGCGCAATTGATAATTCGCGCAACAACGTGAACATTGTCGCGCTACAAAGACGCTACCTTCTGTCCACTGTAGTACTGCGTACTACCATTCGATAGATTGATAGTTACTAAACATTTTCGACCAATCACATTCTAATCACTGTGAATCAATCCAGAAAACATGTTCCCGCTTTTTGGATCAACCAACAATCATGAACAATGCGTAGCTAGATACGGATGCAGTTGGCCGAAAAGTTTTAGTAATTATCGATCTATCGATAATCACTGAGGCATTGTCTATATTAGATATCGTAAGCTGTAAGAATTGGGCGCAATCACAGTCAATTATTACAAAAATAATCGGTTATGATTGATTAATTTTTACAGTTCACGACATTTATTGTATGCCTGAGACCGAGTTAACAATTGCTTTGTTGGTTAGCGAAATTTATTTTTAATGTATATGTCACGATTAAAGAGAGAGAGAGCACAATCATAAATATCATTTTGGCATTTCAATCAAAATTCGCACATCATGAAATCAACTATAATTATGTCATTGTATTATTATATTGCTCGAAATAATTGAAGGATTATTTATACTTGTAATCTTACTCGAGTTGCAATTTGTGTTCTATATTAACTTTGTAAATTCATTTAATTTGAAGAATGTAATTTAATTAGCAGAAATATGGAATATCTTAAGACACAATATTATACGAACTATTGCACTATTTTGATTCCACACTTAGAGAAGACATGACAGTAACAATTATACGAGTTTTGTATGTAAAATTTATATATATAGTTTAATAAGCCATTTTGTAGTTACTGCAACTAAAGTTGAGAATTATATAATAACAGTGTAGTTCTCGTAACTATTGTAATAACTACAAAACAGTTTATTAAACTATATACATTAATTTTACACAAAAACTCGTACAGTGGTTACCAATATAATCACCACTAGTATGTTATTTTTCTGAGCATATAATTAATTATTTGTTACTATTATTTTCATATTGAGATACTGTTAATTCAACAGCTTGGAAATAAAATATGAAAAGTATCAAATAAAAAGTAAATAACCACTAAAAATTAAAGTGGATGTTACAACAAGTATTCAGTACTTTATTGAGATGACATTTAAAAACTATTTTGTATCTCACAAGTACCAATTTGTGTTTGTAATAACATTTGTGCATTTAACGATGCTCTTTAAACCACAAATTCTATTTTGAATTTATTTTTATTTTAAATTTACACTTTTCTCACTGCTTTTTAATCCTGTTATTATATTGAATCTAGATTTGAATTTAGATTTAAATTTAGAGTAGTTCTAAACACATGATTGCTATTTTTACTCATTCAATTTTTTTCTTCTCAGTCTTTTTAATTCTATAAAAATTTTTAACGTCAATAAAAAAATAACATGAAAATTATTTTTAAAAAATGTTCAGTTTCCTTACTTTTGATGGTTAATAGAAAAAGTAAGGAAACTGAATTTTTTTTATAAAATAAAGATTAAAAAGCAGTGAGAAAAGTGTTAATTCAAAATAGAATTGTAGTTTAAAGAGGATTGTTAAATACACAAATGTCATTACAAACACAAATTGGCACTTATAATATTCAAAATAATTTTTAAATGTCAACTCAATAATAAATACTTAAAGTACTTGTACAGAATACTTGTTGTAACATCCACTTTAATCTTTAGTGAAATTACTTACACTTTAATTGTTACCTCTCATATTTCATTTCCAAGCTGTCAAATTAACAGCAACGTCATTTATTTATTCAGTCCATAATCCCTTGATTGTTTCAAATAATATTTCTATTTAATAATACTTAATGTATAAGACAATGAACCAATGTTCTTTAAATTACTTTCAGTGGAAAGTCTTTCCTGGAAAATAAAATAATTATGAAAATGCTGCCAAATGACAATCATCAACATATTCCAAATATTGAAATTTTTTTAAGAGAAAAATATATTAGTATTTGTCGTCTCAAAGAAAAATCACTTTGAATTCATCAAAGAATCAATCAGATCTTATTTCATAAAATTTCCAAATATTATCATAACGTTTAAAGATCAATTTAAAGAACACTGAAACAAAGTGTAATGAGGTAGATGACACTTACCGTTCTTGAGGTGGCGGCTAAATCCGCGCGCTTGAACGGCATGCAGGTCATGGTGTAGAATCAACAGAGCAGCGACGACGAAAGTCACAGTGTCCGCGAGCTTCCTCGCAGCAGCCATGGTCCAGGAGAGTCCCCGCAATTCCAGATACGAGCTGAACAAAGACGATCATTGACTAGACGACGCTCACACAGTCGTTGATCGGAAAAGAGAGCAAAATCACGGCCCGTTCCTCACACTCGCGATTGTCCCGGCACTGGCATTCGTCATTCGTCGAAACGCGTCGTCTCACGTGGCATCTCGATAGCTGTGCGCGAACAAGCGACCGACCGATCGAGAGAGCTGCTACTTGCCGATCGCGAGTAACAGTTCAACTTAGCAATTGCTCAATGATCACTGCAAACTCACCCCTAACTTACGTGACGAGTCGGCTCGTCATATTTCTCTCTCCGTTCGACGTGATTCCTAAAGCCATTGGCGCGTCCATTTCGGTCAGTGTCCCGAGAGCAGTGTCACACATGCACATACACGTCGATGTCCACCCTGACCTTCAGGTACGTGCGTCTCGTCGCACCGACGCACGAGCTAACGAGGATCGCGAACAGCGTGTCGGTGCAGGCAATCTCGACGAGTTTACGGCTTTCAGAATCGTATAGTTCTTCCGTAAGATGAGATCCCACCCGCGCACGTTCATACAAGTTCGCCGTGTACGCAACGAACTTGCCGCGGTTCACTTCGCGAGAATCGCAGGACGGCCGGCCGCTCGGGTAACTTCAGCACGATCGTTTTTACCACGTGACCCCGTTTCAATTCCGCCACTGTTCCGCGCATTCCAAGTGCAGCTCGTGCCGATCTTCCCGCGCGCGATCGGCCACATCGACGTTCCACCCCAGCGATTATCACCTCCCGGTGATAATCTCATCAACTCACCGGCGACGACGACACCACGGCGGAGGTGCGTATTCCCCACGTGCTCACTTGTTGCTCCCGATACGGGTTTGATCGTGTGCCCCGCGTGCACGACGCGCTCCTCTCGACGTGTAACGTACACCTCAAACAGTCAACAAAAGCTGCACTCGCCGGCGGTCAAAAAAAAAACATCAATACAGCGTACACTCCGCGAAAACACATCGTCTTCGATGTTCGGTAATTCCGTGCGAGGAACCGGGTGATCTCGTTGATCGTTCCGAGACAATGCACTACGCGCGAGAGAAAGACGGCGCGAGACAGAGAGAGAGAGAGAGGAGGACGGTGGCGCCACGACCGCACGATACTAACGTCGCGAGCAGACTGAAGTGAGGCAGCGTACCACCGTGACGCTGCGCGCGACCATCTCCCTCCCCCCTCCCTCCGCTCTCACTTGAATCACAGCGAGCGTTGGGCAGGTACAAGGGCGGTATGCAGCGAAACTTTCCATCGTGCTTCCGAAAACAAACACGGCCGAGCGTCACGAGTAAGTGTCATTCTCTGTCGACTCCCCCCGGCAGTAGAACTTTCCGGGTGATATTCGGCCGGCGTAATCGAGCGGGATCACCCCATGGCGTCATTCTCACCTCCTTCAACGGACACCGATCACGTCGATCACGAAGGTAAGACTCGTGTCTCGCTGATACATCTCATCGGCACGCGTTCGTCATTTATTTTGTGCGTGAGATAATCGTCTCGATCGATGCATTCTACTATGTATATAGAGATTTCGAGATATTCGTCCAAACTGGACTGTTAACTTTCATTTTTAGACTTCGCGATATCGCGTCTTCCTTTACCCTCTGTGTTTCGTCGACGATGTGTGTGATAATAAAGTATCCGTCTCAGTGAATCGTTCGTTTTCGCGACGTTTTCAGGGTAAATCAGTGTGTTAACGTTACACATCGACGCGGAACCATAATCGGGCCGGAATCGGAAAGTTCCCTCTTCTCATTTCTTGTTCCCCAAGGCCATCTTAGCGTTAAATTGTTGAAACGACGCCATTAGAGACGGGCGACGGAGCTGGAAAGACGTTACAGGTAATTTGAATATATTTTGGCGAAAATTTCTTCTTTCTTTGCTATTTTAAATGCATTATAGGATATTTGGAAAGATAACAGTACCTCTCTTTTTCGGCATTGTTAAGCGTTGAATCGTTCACCATACGCTCGAAATTCTTTCTTTTTACCGTTTGTAATAGTCGTTCGACGCGATCCAACGATCGATCGTCAACTCGCTCTATTTCTAAAGGTTTTGCTATCGCTAACAATTTTCACTTTTCAGAACACGCAATCTCGGACAACCTACCTGTTGCTTTGTTGCGGAAATTAACATTGTGATGCCTACGCGAGTTCCTACTTTAAGATACCTTCTCCATTCAGCAGAATATATTTCAAGAAGGTGGATTTTGTCTTGTGGCGTCGTTCTTACTTGCTTCAATCGAGCCAGCGGATATGACGTCGACAATGGACGAGATGTCGATGACGCCGACTACGAAGGTAAAATTCATCTTGTTGAAATCTCATCGACTTGTTTATTTAGTTTCCCATACAGAACAAATAAACATGTTCTTACAAGTAACTTATTTTTATTTGACGCTACATAATCTCATTTAAAGACTAATATATTAAAAATAAAAATATTTTTAAAATAAAAATCCTTTTTTTCTATGTGCATTTTCTTAAGACCTTAGCTTTTTATGAAATCATTTATTCAATTTAAATAAAAGAATTTAGATTTAAGTAAATATGTTATTAGCACCTACTGAATAAATATTTTCTTACTTTTTAGGTATTTTTTATCTATTCTATTATCTACAGGATATCCATGAGATGTATTTTAAATATTTGTTCTGTATGGGTTGTAAGACTCATAAATCGAGATATTTATTGATTGTATTTTTATTGTATTAAATTGTATTCTTAACCTGGATTTCCGAACTTTATATAGTTTCTTAGACTATGTGAGATCAAAAATACATATAATATTTACTTAAACCTAAATTCTTTTATTTAAATTGAATAAATTATTGCTTTCATGAAAAGCTAAGGTCTTAAGAAAATGCACATAGAAAAAAAGGATATTTTTATTTTAAAAATATTTTTATTTTTTATGTATTAGTCTTCAAATGAGATTACGTAACGTCAAATAAAAATAAGTTGCTTGTAAGAACATGTTTGATATTCTCTAATAAAATCTCTCATTCTCGTTGCATGTTCAGGGTGAATCAATATTATTATGATCGTCGTACAGAATTATACTCCAGCACGGAACGATAATTCGAACTGAATCGGGCGTTCCCGTTTCATCATTTCCTGAAATTATCTTGGCGTCATTTGCGTAAAACTGTTGAGGTAACGACGATTATTGCAAATGAACGAGGGAGATTGGAAGGAGATTACAGGTAAATTAAAAACACTTTAGCGAAAATTTTTCAAGGTTTTTTTACTAAAGAAACATATTTCAATAACGAACACACACGGACAAATCAGTGGTCGAACTAAACCATACAAGATTAGGTACTTCTCTATTTCTTCTTTGCCTCTAGAAGGTTACAATGCTTTGGTTATCTTTTTTTTTTTGGTTTTAGGTATATTATAGGATATTTACGGAGAGATATAATTAGTGTTCCTCTCTTTTCGGCTTTGTTAAGCGCTGAATCGTTTATCAAGCGGCTCGAAATTCTTTTTTTCTTTCCTTTCTTTTTTTTTCGTTCGTGATCGTCGTCCGGTCGCTCCGATCGCGCGATCCAACGATCAATCGCTCGTTCGCGCTATTCCTAATCATTACGCAACATTTTCGCTATCGCAGTTCTCAATTGTGAGAATGTGTTCGTCACGATCGCGCGATTCCTGCCGGAATGGCCTGCCTGTTGCTTCGTAAATTAACATTGCGATACCTACGCGAGTTTTCACCTTACCGCGCATTCTCCGTACAGCAGAGTATATTTCGAGAAATCTTCCGGGCGACAAAGCGTGACACTTGCACTCTATTTGCTTCTCAGTCAATTTATCGCAAATTTCTTACACGATCCTTCGTTCATTGTTCTATAACAAAATATTTGCAATCATAAAGATTGAAAGTGCATTGACCGAATGAATTTTTATTGAACGACACTCGCACGTCCATTGCTGTGCACGTCGAAAAATAAAATCTGCATAGAACCTCGTGTGATAAGTACGTTTCATTTGAAAGTCTAACAGGCAATTATAATTTTAAAAGAAATTCATGACCACCACGGGCTGTTATATCGTCGTATATTTTAATACATGCGTATTAACCTTGCGGAGAGCCTTTACAGGTCTATCTATAGAACGACAAAAGTTCCGTCGCTGACGCATATAACCGCCCACGAGAATATACCCTGCCGTGTAACGAATACACTTCAACTTCGTTTTTTTAACGAGATCGGAATCGTCAAGATTGACGCGAGTAACGATACGATCGTAGTTTCTCGTCTTATTAAGGTATTGAGGAAAAAATACATAAAAAATTACTTGTGGAATATAGAGTTTATTTCAATGAAATACAGTTGATTTCTGCGAACAGACTTTATATCCCACAAATAAATTTTTAAATATTTTTTTTCTGAAATTCATTTCTGTGAATAAATTTTATATCTTGCAAATAAGTTTTGAAAAATTTTTTCTCTAGTGTATACTGATAAAATACACTGTGAGAAAATTACTTGAACATTTATTTGTAGGATATAAAGTTTATTTCTGTGAAACAAAGTTCATTTCTGTGAATAAATTCCACAAAAAAATTTTCAAGTATTTCTCAGAAAATCACGTCGCGTTTCGAGACTCGCGGACTCGATTCTGTTTGCTCGAAGTCGAAGTGTAAGGAGAACCGGACAGGCGGAAAACCGCGGACGAGTGTTCGAGCACTTGGACGCGAAGTCGATGAAATAACTGTTGGCGATGCCGACACGTCCAGATGAAAAACGGTCGGAGCGTGTTTGGACGAGTTCTATCGTTCGTCTAATTCGAACGACGCGCAATTGCAAAATCGATCCGTTTAATGAGTATTCTCGCGGACATTAAAAATCATACGAAAGTGTGTATACGTATGTTTACTGTTCTTCTTTCTTTTTTTTGTGTTAGTCCGATTGCGCGTTTTTAGGCAGTCTACGGTTTCTCGTTTCTCTCTTTGTTTATTGTTACACACCACACACACGCAACACACGCGCGCTCGCATACACACACATACACACTCTTTCACACACACACACATATACACACACGTACGTGATATGCGCGGACACAGGTATCGGTACGGCAAGTAAATAACGTTAACGATTACGCGCGTACTTAGACACTACGTTTCGTCCCCGTCGACTGTCTTTCGCGTTCACTCTCTGCCGGCACTTCTCGTCAATCTCGTTTTAATTGACGGTGATCCGTAAAGAGCGCCCATGTGATGATTGGTGTCAACCCGTGCGATACCGAGTGAAAAAGGTTGGTCAAACAATCTTTATGATATCGTTTAACAATCTCGTGTGATGTACCACGCGCACGCTGCGATCCTGCGCGCTGCGCTAAGCTCTCGTAAATCTACTCAAATGTCAATTGAACGATTTTTTTATTATATTTATTGTATGTACGGGAAGAAAGATTCGGTTGGATAAGTCAATTTCTTTGGCTGAAATATGAACGATTTAAAAACTTCGATTGAAGTTATCAGAATTCAATCTAAATTATTCAGATTTTATTCTATCTAAACTAACTTCTATCCCTTATAATTACTGTCTTTTATAAGTACTTCTTTAATTCTTCTCAGTGCTCTCTTATATTGTTCTCTTTTCCTTTGCTTTTTTATGTACTTTGTGATGTTCAAAGAGACATATTCTTGTTCGGTTAAATAAATAAATAAATTTTCAAGTATTTCTTCCTCAGTGCATAATAAAAACATTTCTGCTTAACTTAAACAGAATTCCAGTAATTTCCATCGGAATCTCTAAATCGTTCGTGTCCTACTAGAAATTGGTCCATCCAACAAAATTATTTATTCTTCCGTGCGTGAGATTTGAGAATTAATCGCAATCCACAAAAGAACGTTAAAACTGAGGCATATTCCGACAAATGGAGATTTATTGATTCTTTTTTTCCAAATGTAGGACATAATCGATTATTGGACATTTACGTGCGTGAGATATGTAATCAAAGGAGTACTTACCGTTGACGAGTGTCGTGTCAAACGAAAGTCCGACAGCTCCGTGGATTTGTACTTTATTAAGTTTATGTTTTGGGAATTACACACTGAGAAGTACTGAAAAAATTTGTCGATATAAAGTTTATTTCTGTGAAATA